GGAGATGGGGAATCTGGTACCGCGAAATACAGGATGGATAATGGGGTTGTTGGGATTGTTAGCAAGATATCAATGTTGCGAATCCCTTTGTTCGACCTGCAGGTGGATCTTATTTAGCTTTTCTAGTTTCCCTTTTGTTTTAGGCCTACCCAGATACTGACTGACGTCGTTGCTATTACTGTTCAACCAAACAGAAGAGAGCGGATTGAAACCGTCGGTTCGATATATGTAGAGATGAGATGTCATGGAGGGGTACATAATACAGAGATAGAGGGGTATATACATACACACATATTACACATATACACGCATAGATAGTAAACAGCAAATCCTAAACAAAAAACCCCATACAAAGCATTACATTAGAATAGCAGCACACGACCACAACCCCACTCCCAACCCAACAACACCCAAATCCCTCTATTCCCACTCCAACCCCTCACTAACAACAACCAACAACAACCCGCGGCTATCTCGGAACCCTCGTGGGCTCTCCACTAAATCCAGCCACACATCTGCATCCATGCAGAAGGAAGCACCCCACTATACCCTTCCTGTACCAAGCTGCATACAACAATCTGCATACTGCATTCGGCACATCAGCGTCGGTGATTTTGGAGGCAAGGGTGAGGGTGGGAGTTTAATAGGTGAGAGGTTGCATGACGCATCGGGGATTAAACTTAATCTGTGTGGCGTTGCGTCTGGTGGGATTGGTTGGGTGGAATAGGATGGAGGAAGAAGGATGTGTGGTGACTACAGCGAGAGAATAGAGAATAGAGAATAGAGAATAGAGAATAGAGAATAGAGAGAGAGAGGTGTAGGTAGTGAATAGATTCTTTTTTATACAGACTCACACCCATAGAATGGGGTATTTCGTACGATGATTTGTAGTAAGTATACTATCTCTACCCCGTATTATATCTACCTCTACCTCTACGCCTACCTACACCTCCTTCCGTACAATCGGCCTTCCATCCCTAACATCCCCATACCCCGGCTCCTCGTACTCCCCAAAGCAAGCGTAGTCATAATCCGCGAGCTCAATCTGCCTCTCCATGACTTTTAGAAAAGCGCTCATCTCACACCACCCATCGTCCCTCTTCCCACACGCCTCATGACTCCTCCCTAGCGGAATAGTCCTCTGGTTAAGTATAAAATGCACATAACTAGTCGGCCCACCTTCAAGATAAACCGTCTTATCGCCGCGTCTAGGGTTCACAGGTGCAGGCGCTTTGATGACTTCAATGTCGAGGCGGCCGGCAAAGGGCTGCAGGTGGGAGAGGATGAACTCGCGGTCCTGTTTGATGTGTGTAGTTGGTAGCATGTCTGCGAATTGGGTGAGGCCGAAGGCGACGAGGATGCTTAGGATGCCGGCGTCGTGGGAGAAGTCGAGGTTTAGGTTTTGGTCTACGGGGAAGGTGACGGTGTTGTTGTCGAGGGTGATGTTGATTTGGGCGGAGGGGGACGTTATGACGTGGTGTTGCATTCGGGCGAGGACTTCTTCCACATAGCCTTGGAAGGGTTAGTTTTCTTGTTTTCATCTTGGGAGAAAGAGTAGTACCAATGCCGATTGCTCGTCCAACGGGAGACGCAAAACCCGTTCCGGCTTGGAATGCAATGTCAAGTGCATATTCGTAGCCTTCCCACTCCTCGTAGGTGAATAGACCACACCAGTGAGAAAAGCCTAGGGAGACAGTCTCGTAGGAGCACAAGGCTTGAGCATTGTCTGGGAGGGTCAGATTGACACTTGAAATACATCACTTGACCTACATGTGTCGTTGATGGTCCAATCAAGGTCACCAGTAAGGTTGCTTCTGAACCTCTGATGGGCATCATGGAGGTACACGCCAACCCACTCCATGAGGGCTACATAGCGTCAGTCTAAACACACATGATCAAACAGCATGCATACCTCCGCGAGCCATGTGCCAGCTCGAATGATTGCATTGCTTGTAACCAGCCAACGTATTGTTGAAGCCAGGTGCCTCAATAGCCAACTCCAAGGTAGCGTTTTGCGGCCAGCCCAAGCCAAAGAAACCTGCCAAAAAGTACTCTGCAGACTCCGTCATGCGACGCTGCGTAGTACTCCTGACAACGATCTTGCTCCCATTGTTTGGGTACAGATGACCGTATTGGTAATAATGCAGTGTGCCCGACGTGAACAGCTCCTGCTTCCCATTCGGCACCAAGATCTCGGCACCCAGCAAAAACTTCCAGTCGTTGAGGAACGACAGTGGCCCGTGTCCGGTAAACTTGCCCGCAGCATCAGTGAGCTTCTTGCCCAGAGTCCTTTCTGCGGCTTCCCCGGATACTTCGGGGTATCGGCTACCATGCCGATGTACCATGTTCAGCCATGTCACGTTAGTGCCAGCTGGTACTGGGTACTCATTGACACCGAAACCGCGTGGATTCGGAAAGTACGGACTAATGTTGGCAAGGCTCTGGAAAATGTTCTTATTGTCCACATTGCCGACAATAGGGACTTGGGTCTCAAGAGGCGTGTTGGGTATGTAAGACACACCAGCAAACGGCGCTAGATTGGTCTGCGCAAGGAACGGGGCTGAGCCAGTCTGGGTAGGACCTTGAAAGTGCCCATCATCAGTCACAAAGTAGTCCGGAAGCCCAGAGGACTTTGTCACTGGTGTAGCTGATGTAAGATCAGTTGATGCCCAGCCTTGTGACTCTGGGCTGTCATGACCATGTCAGATTGTAGTACTTACGGCGCACATGATCTTGGTCTTGCAGAGGCACTTGGATTCCGGCACGACCTCCCCAGGATTAGCCAATTTACCACGAGTCGCAGGAGGATCCGGAAAAGTAAAGTTGCTGGTCAGCCTAAAATTACGCACCGAAATTGGCCGGCTGGAATGAGTTGAGGAGCTGAAGCGAGAGCTCGATGATGCCGTGCATGGTGGGGTAGCTGCGCGCTCTTACTCAGCAACGGCAAAAGAGATCAATAGTCGATCAGACAAGGAAACAAGGTATCTCCGCGAAAAGGTTCCCGCAGCACCAGTCGCGATGCTGAGGTTGTATTGTTCAGCTTGAGCAGAAGCTTGAGCTTGGGCCACGAATTGATTTCAGTGACGCAATGCCGAGAAGGCAGTCAGCCTTGACATCCCTGACACTTGACCTGACACTTGACCTGACACTTGACAACTTGAAACGATCCATCCACGGAATTCAATAACGCGAAATCCCAGCCAACGTTTGAGATGCTTGTAGGGAAACTGGTGTTTTGACCACCGAGCACGCAACCGGGCTAAAAGTAGTCCCTGGTTATAGTTCACCGGGAGAGGGCTGATACTGGCATCTTGCCAGCGCCAGTGATAGATATAGCATCATGACAGATATAGTATCAATATTAAGTCTCCGTCTCCGCATCTCCAGATAAAGCACTGGAATCCGGATTTCTCCAATTGGTGCCCACACACACCGGTAAATGTTACTTGAAATATCGACGGATGGACAGATGCGAAGCGCTTCAAGATCGACACGCTATCCCTCAACCCGCATCAATACCGTCCTGCAGACCGCAGTGGGGTAGTGGTGATCTTCAACCAGGCAAGGGCCGAGTAACAGAAGTTGTGAGGCGATAAGAAACCGCGTCGGCCGATGTGACTTGGCCGTGACGGTTCACATCAGCAATCAGCGACATGACATACTCCAGACGTAGATGAGACACGGCACCGGACAATGACCAACTGGTTGCATGTCAACATGTAAAACTCGACACCCGCACTGATAGGCGGTAAGAAATCAGTCCGGCGCTATAGTTGCGCGGGGAAATGTCGTCAGCCTGGGGGATAGGTCGGACATCCGTAGCGCACTCCGTCTCACGGTCTCCCAAAAAAAAACACGAGGCTTACGGAGATATGACTGAAAGCAAAAAGAATCGACCCATCCTTATGACATCCGATTCCAAATAATTTCTCGCATCAATAATCGGAGACATTCGCGGTATGTTCGCACACGCACACACGACTATATATCGAGACATTATAGGGGACGCGTCGTCATTCGGGGGTTCTGTCGGTGTGACTATTCCTTGCAACTTCTTCAGGCCTCGTGATCGATCGTTATGAGTTAGAAAAGGTATGTTCGGAGCTCTATCAATATATGGTGGGCTTTGCGGCATGTCCACCTGCCTGAAAAGGCTTACATCTAAATTGACGCAATCTGCATGGATGAGACGAATACCTAGGAGTGCACAAGTCGTGCTAATGGGCAAGATGTAGTTTAGGGCGCACCAAGTGTTCGTCTGGCTAGGGCAGGAGCAGGACCAAGGACATATAGCGTTCGACGCTTCAAACTCCGCTTTGAGGCTCCTTGTGAAACCGCCAGGCGACAGGCAAAAGTATTTCTACATGTATTCTCTCATTCAGCTTCTCACCAATGAAGCGATAAAGATGCCAACACGGATGCCAGTGCTAATGCAGACCTATCACTTGCAAGCAGTGGCTCCAAACGTGAAAGCTTCACCAATGGTCGTCATGTTCGATAATGGTAATATTGCAGCTTGTGGTACTCGCTATCACTCTGCTTTCATTCCTATCTAGGCTAGGAGCGCGTTTGCTTCCCAATTGTGGGCTTTGCAAGAACCATGAATTGTTAGGGCCTATGCTGTATGCAACGTCCTTGGCTGACGGCTAACCCTGTCCAACGAGATTGAAAAGCTAGGAGCATTGAAAGAGGCGATGATGTCCCCTTCCCCAAGTTATATATAACCCGTGTGAACCGCATCGAAATCGAACCGAAAAGCTCAATCTTTTCCGTGAGCCCCCAGCCTCAGCCACCTCTCTAGCAACTTCCACGGCTGTTAGCCGTAGCCTTATTATCCCTACAGATTTTCTTCATTTTAGCTTGTTGATCGAACGTGTATAAACAACAGGTTGCATAATCAGCCTAAAATATATCTATTAGTTTGCACGTAGGTTAGTATATCTTGGTTGGGACACAAAGTCATACAAGGGGAAGTCCATTCATAGTGCATGCGCGTACTACCTCACCAGCATCTGCCCATTCACACCACCACCGCGTGCCGCCTAGTTGAGCGAGTGCGGGGACAGCCCCAAGAAAGACAGTAGAGATGACGAGAGTGAGCTTCGTATTTAGCTTGTTAAAGAAGAGGTATATTGCGTTATTATCATTGTTGTTATTTTGTAGATTTAGACCAAAGAAGGTAGTTTATTTCGTAAATGCGAATAGAATGGCGTGTGTGAACTTCTACTGGATTAGCGTGCCACTCTTTATATACCTTGTCACGATTAGGTAAGAGCGGGATAAAATTCCCAACATACGTGGAATTACCAACACGGGGTGGACGAAAGTAGTAAGTAGTGCGAGACACTGTGACTTGGGTGTCTAGATCGACGGTAATTATCATTAAACTAGAATTGGGTTCTTCTTTCTGCTTTGTACGTTGTACTACCAAGAGAATCTACAAAGTAAGCTTCACTAGGGCTGACACAGACTGCGAGATTGGAAAGCCAGAGTTATTGAAAGAGATGATATCCCCATTCCCTATATACCGTGAACCCGAACCTCAACCTCAATCCATCTTCCGCTCGCCCTCTGCCACGGCTAGTTATTCCTGTCCACTCTCTAGCAAGTTCCACCCTTGTTAGGCTTGCCGTCAGCCTCCTTACAGATTATCCTCATGTTTGCTTCGTCAGCTTTGGTGGATACACAACAGGTTCCTTTGGCAACCTAGAATAAAAGCATTAGTTTGACATGGGTCATGTATCTGTTGGGACACATGTCTTACACGGCGAAGGTTGTAATGATGGCATCCTCTTTCTACCACTCCAGAGTCTGGCCATTCACACCACCATTTCGTGCCTGCGAGTGCGGGGACAGCTCCAAGAATGACGGTAGAGATGATGGCGAGCTTGTCGAGACGCGGTAAGAGCCTTCACTAGTATTCACGGTGAATCAGGCTTCCCGTGCTCTGATTGGCCAGACACTGATTAGTCAGCTGCTCCGTGCGCGCACCATAGATATTCTCACTCCTCCCGTAGCTCCAATACAACAAGTTCACGCACGTTTCTCCACCTTCATCAGAGCTTCATGTTGGGCTTGTTGGAGAAGGGGTATGTTGTGTAGTTGTTGTTGTTGTTGTAGATTTAGGTAGACCAAGAACGTAGTCTGTTTCGTAAATGCGAACAGAACGATTGTGTGTGAGAACTTCAGCTGGAGATTGGAGTATCACTCCGATTGAGTAACGCACAGTAGTCCTTTATATACCTTCCTACTGTGCGGTAAGAGCGGGATAAGGTTTTCCAACATGGCTTGCTGCGAGCGTAAAGAAAGGAGGCATACCAAGATGCCGTGTCCTGGCACACGCTTAGATCTACCATGGACATTATTGAAAACGAGTTGAACTTCCATTCGATTCCCAATAGGACCCAGACGCTTTCCACTAGAGCTGATTGCAAAGACTCAATCATGTCTTGGGGTAAGATCTTGGCAACAACACGAGCCACCTTCGTATAGCTGACTTGTTTCACATGTACGCTCTATTGGGTATAGATGACAGTAAGAAAGCTTGATTTTCGCCCAAGTTGATGATTGCGGTATACTTGGATAACATGGTTGACCCGGAGGTTTCCATGACATTGGATTGCGGTTGGCTGGTGTCTGATGGACAGTAAAAAAAGCAAATAGACATAAATTCAAACACAATAGTTATAGATAGTTATCAAACTTTTCCCACCCCCATAAGCACAGCCAATCCGCCAATCCACCCCAATCAATCGTACACGACAATTTGACATCCAAGATCCCTATCATCCGAGTGCTGACAATCACGACGTTCACGATTGACAGCCAGATTACCACCAATGATATCTTCTATTTGCGGCTGACACGTACACCACGTGCACTCGTGCCAGAAACACTGGCCATTCTCGTAGTAACACGCTATACCGCCATCCCAGCAATACTTTTTCTATTGGGGAAAAAAAATTAGATGTTGTCGATTACACACAAAAGGACTAATCTACCTTTCTTCTGGCTTCTAGGTGGTTGAGAGATGGTGATGTGTCTTGGGGAGAGGATGTGAGGGGCGCGGCTGTGGTGACTGTCGCAGCCACGAGAAGGACGAGGTATCCCAAGTCTTTCATGTTGATGAGGAGATTTGCGTGTGGGGACGTGTGTATGATTTGCGTGTAGGATGTGTAGTGCTGATTGTGTTTGGGAAGTTGGACGATCAAGATAAAGTTCACAGCCATGGTCAAATTTATATAATTCAAAAGCTTCTCAACAACTGACTGAGTTTTACGCAGACGGCAGTATACAGGCGCAGAAGAAAACATCTCTAGTAGGTGTGCCGGCAAATGTAGTGAGGCAGGCTAGGGCTTGTAGGTTGAAGACTTGGCCAAGATCTGTATAGGTGAGATAGAGCCCTAGATGCCTCGATAGAAGCAGTGCAGTGACATACAAGAGAGCAGTTCTAGTAGGTGTGCCGGCAAAGGCAGTGAGATAGGTTTTAGCTTATAGGTTGAGGACCTGACCATGACCTGTGCAAGTGATAGTAGACCTGGACACATAGACAAAACCCTTCTTGTTGAGTGCGCAAGCTATGATGATTCTTATAGTCGCCTCGATAAAAGCAATGGAGTGACATACAAGAGCAAACCTCTGGTAGGTGCCAGCAAAGCTAGCGAGGCAGGCTTTGGCTCCTACTTAAGGACCTAGCCATGACCTGTGCAGGTGACAGTAGAGATCAGAACGACTCGATAAAAGCCGTCTTGACATGAGCAGGCAAGCTATGAAGCTTATTGTCGCTTCGATGAAAGCAATACAGTGAAATATAGGCAGAACGGCCAAGTCGAATGCTTACAAGACTAAAGTAAGCGCTGATGAACTACGTAGCGTGCGGTCAGCTGTACTGACGACTAGTCGTCATGGATGACAGCTCTCCAAAGTGCGACAGGTCAACGACGACGGCGCCTTAGTTGCAACACACGGAGCGGGACTCTCCGAAGGGCGGCCGTTGAGTGCAGCCCTACCCCTACCGGACGTTGACCCAGGACGTCGACAAGGTGCTAGGACTCCGGCGCAACAACGGCAAATCCAGCCTTGTTGAAAAG